AATGAGAAGCTGTGGAAAAGAAAGGCTCTAGTTCCCCATTCGGTCGACTGCGTCCTTTGCGTGCGGTCGGTTCTACGGAGTGGTCTCTGATATTGATCCAGCACTCCCCGGCAGTACCTTTCTCCTATATCGGATCCCCTAGCGTCTACTTCCTAATTCGGCTCGTACTGGGTCCTGACTGCTGCAAAAAATTCTGTTCTACTACTATATTCGCTGGGACACTGATTCAAAGTTTTGTTCACTACTTAATCAACTTTCGTACCTTGATCGACGATCTTTGAACCGTGGATCGATCTGCTCCGCTCTGCGTCTATCCACTGCGACAACCCTAGTGGCGGGGGTCATCTTCACTTTTTTTATAAAGCCACCATCACCGGTCAGTCATTCAAAGGTTTTTTTACACCGTCGTGAGGCTCTCGTCGGATTTTATTATTTTCCTTCTTTTCTTTGCTATTCGAAGTCTAAGTATCTGGTGATCGACGTTTTTGCCCTTCTTATTCTTTCTCTTTTCACTGATGGATACGCCAGTCTCTCGATGCGGCAATAACGAGCGTAGGGTCAAGAGAAAGCCCCCTGTTTCAACGCCAAGTGATGATGATGGGACCGGTGCACTGGTCGATGCGATTTCTCTGTTGAACGCGGATAACGTCTTGCCATCGCATCTTAAAACCATTATATGCCACCTCTTGGATAGGGCCACCGAAACGGAAGCGCTGGCTCGCAAAAATGCTCTTCTTGAGAAGCGCCTAGAAAATGAGACCGCTGAGAATGCTCGCCTCAGACAAGAAATTGTTTCTCTTAAGCAGGCTCTCTCTGCTAGTAGGAGTCCAAGAAACTTGTTGTCTCATTCTGGTAATAACTCTTCTGATTCTCATTCTCTTAAAAATAGTCATCCTTGTTGCGAGGAAACTGAAATGGCCAGATCAATAGTAATTCATGGCATTGCTGAAATAGAAAATACTGATTGTTCGCAAGAAGTTTCGTACCTCTTTGACTGTATTAAAAAAATTTTTCAATTTCTAAACATTGAATGTGCACCAGTTACTTTTTATAGGATGGGAAAGCCTAACCCTCACTATTCTCGTTTGGTCAAAGTTGTTCTCCCTAGCTCATTCTTCCAAAGACAAGTTCTATCACGTGCTTCTTTGTTAAAAAATTTCCTGTACGTGGTATATTCGTGCGCCCTTCTCTGCCTTTATCTGAAAGGATTCGTTTACGTGAACTTAGGAAACTTAGAAAGGCTAATAGTGATGGCATGAGACATTCCACTGTTTCTTCTGGAACCATTTCTAAACCTCATGATGCTATTTCTGAAAGAACTGTTAATTCCTCTGGTTCGTTAGTGGGCCCTGCGCCCAATCAGATCAATCCATCATCAAGTCTAGAAAATGATTCTGTTATTGCTTCTGCATTACCTACCTCTGCTCTTTCACATTCGGGAAACTTGTAATTGCTCCGCGGTCCGACGGTAATGTTATTCGTTGCCTCTTAAGCAACATTCGCTCTATTCATAGCAATGCTCATTGTCTAAAGTACATGATGGCCGCACTGAACAGTGATATCCTGGCCCTGACCGAGACCTGGTTGAAGCCCATGAGTAAGCTTGAGCCCTACTAGGTGAGCTTTGTTCACCCTATGAAACTTTTAGGTGTGACAGGCAGAAAATCAAGGGTGGCGGAGTTGCGTTGATGATTAAACGTTTTCTATTTCCGGTGCAAATTTTCTGTGAAAGCATTCCGAAGGCATATGAGATTCTTTCATGTGATCTCAATTTGGGCACGGGCACCCATCGATTAATAGTAGTGTATAGGGCCCCAAGATGTAATGCAGAGCTGAATGAACAACTAATTAAATGTATAAGCGACCTATCTTCCAATGACAGCGTCTGTCTGCTAATGGGTGACTTCAATTACCCTGAATTGGATTGGAGGGCAACACTTCACCGACTTCGCTTCAGGCTAAGTCGTTCGTTGATATGGTTGTTGCTCACAATTACACACAGTTTGTCACAACCAAAACCAGGGGTGAACATACTCTCGATCTGCTTTTATGCAACAATCCGGATTCAATTGATAATGTTCTCACCGCCGCTCCAATAGGCAATAGTGACCATGCCTCCATCTGCTTCAATCTCTTATGTCACTTTGAGCGTAGGGAATTTATTATGAAGCAGGACTTTAGTAAAGCTGACTTTCAGTTAATCAATCAGTATCTCAGCAGTGTTGACTGGCTTGGTACCTTCCAGTCTTGCGTAGACGTAGAGGAAATGTATGAGACCTTCCTGTTTATATTGAAGCACTGTATCTCCATGTTTGTCCCTGTCAAAAGGTATCACTAAATTCTCCTAACTTGCCGGGACATTTAGCTTCCACATTCAACGCCAAAATGCAAGCATACAGAAAAGCTGTGATCACAAATCGCGATGAGGACTGGAAGTTTTATAAAGTTTGCGCGGACAAGCACCAAAAGAAGTTAGTAAAGTATAATATTAATGTTGAAAAGAAGGTCATGGAATCCAGCAACAAGGCCGCGTTCTTCAAGTTCTTGAGCTTCCGTATTAATAGAAAAGAGGGCGGTCAGTGCCATTAAGAAGCCTGACGGTTCTGTTGCTGCATCTGATTTTGAGAAAGCTGAGGCATTGGCTGAGGTTTTGAGAAAGTTTATACTGAGGAAATTGCTGCTAGTTTTTCAGGCTTAGGATGTGAGCGTTTCCCTCCAATGGAGGATTCCGTCAGATTTTGTCGCTACGAGATACTTGAGTATATAGCAAAGTGGCGCAATAGTTCATCTGTAACCCCGGATGGTATTCCTTTCACCTTCATCAAAAGAATAGCCGGAAGCATTTCGTGGCCGCTGGAATTCCTTTTCAACTTGATGCTTTTTCATGGAACTGTTCCGCACAGTTGGCGGCACGCTTATGTTATTCCTATCAAAAAGAAACCTCCTCACAGTGATCCTAGGAACTATAGACCAATTAGCATAACCTCCGTCTTTTGCAGACTCTTTGAAAAATACTCAAAAAAGCCATTGTTTGTCACTTAGAATCCAATCGTGTGCTTTCTACTCATCAGCATGGGTTTCGGAAGAACAAGTCCACGGTCTCACTAATGTTGGAATCGCTCAATGACTGGATCGCGACGCTTGATGCTGGAAGCAACTTAGATGTCGTTTATTTCGATTTTGAAAAAGCTTTTGACAAGGTCAATCACCCAATCTTGGTGCAGAAAATGAAACAAACCGGCATTCACCTCAAGATAGTCAATTGGATTGCAGAATTCCTAAAGCTACGAACTTTTCAGGTTGTAGTAAATGGCTCTTTCTCTGCCGTGAGGAAAGCTCCTAGTGGGGTTCCTCAGGGTAGTGTCCTGTCACCTATTCTATTCAATATTTTTACTTTCGATTTGCCGTCTTTGGTTGAGGAGCAGAATGTAAAAGTCAAAATGTTTGCTGATGACCTTAAGATTTACAATCCAATCATGTCTTCCAACCAATCCCAGCTGCAAAAGGCAATAGATGTCATAGCGCATTGGTCCAACATGAACATGCTTCCACTATCTACTGGTAAAACGAAAGTTCTTCACTTAGGTGAATCCAATCCTAGCATTCTATACTACATTCATAATGTTGCTATCGAAGCGGTTGATTCCGTTAAAGATTTGGGTTTTCTAGTCAACAACAAGTTGGACTTCGGAGATCATGTCAATAATATAGTAGCTAAAGCTGAGCAGAGAGTTTTCCTATTGTTTAAGTCGCTCCTGTCAAGAAATCCGCTTCTACTTATAAAGGCTTACAAAACATATGTGCGCTCAGTACTTGAATATGGCACCTGCATATACTTTCCTCATAAGAAGATGCTGATTGACAAACTTGAAAGGGTGCAGAACAGCTTTACTAGAAAGCTATTCCTCAGAGCCCTTGGTTTTACTTACAAAAGTATACCTCGGGGTGTAGTAAGGAATAAAATTATTAGTTTAGACCCATTACGTGTGAGGCTTAGGCGAAACGACATTCTTATGGTTTACAACATCCTTAACAGGCGTATTGATCTTAGCCGTCAGTCTTTTTATAGTCTCGCACCTTCTAGGACCAGAGGCTGGAAATCCAGGCTTGTTTTTCGGCAACCGCGTACTCTGTTAGGGCGCAAATTTT